TGAATTGATAGGAGTCCTGTTCTGTTTGCAACAAGTAGCAGAGTTTGGAAGCTAAACATACCAGATTCTTCCACTCTTGTTTCAGTGCAGGAGAAATACTTAACATTGTATGGAAAATGAAAGCTTCTACCTGTTAAAAAAAAAAGACAGGTCTGATGGATTTTCCATGGATGGGAATCTCTACAACTTCAAAGCAATAAGAATGTCTATTTACATCAAAGAATGAAATGTCCCACTCTATTCAGTTTTTGGTGATACTGAGGGTGACAGGGTGGGAGTGAACAAATGCACACTTTATAGGAGTGTGTTTATAGGAGTCACTTTGGGTCTGGAAACAGCATCCTGTTGAAGGTTCAAATTCTCAGCTGGTAGTAAGTGCTGCTAGTGTGACATTCTTATTTTTAGAAGTAGAAAGCCAAGGTAAAACAGGCACAAGAAAAGGCACTTTTAACTGTTCTAGGTGAATATATCTTTTGAAACAAAGGGAAGAAGTATGTGTTTATGTTCTGAGAAAGTTGTATTCAGCCTTCCCTGCCTTGGCTATGATTCAGTCACTTACTTGAGCATGAGTTTTGACCCCCCATCTATCTCCATTTGAAAAATTGCTTTTGATTTCAGTAATAGTTTCCTTGGCTTTTGAGGGAAGAGTACACAGACCCTGCACTTCCAGGCAATGAGTATCTACCAGTCATCAGGAAGAAAGTAAATTGGGCAGAGGTGGCTGTTTTGTGGTTGCTAATGATTCCAGGAGTATGTTATGACATAAGCTATCAAATTCCAAAGGCAATGGGTGTTCTGGGTATTGGACAAGTCACATTGCTTAGAGGAAAAAGACTCATGAGTCTGTAGTGAGTTTACAAAGATGGTTTCATCTTCACATCTGAAAGTTCAATATATTTCCAAATAGAAAGAGTAGCATGGGCTGATGACAGTGGGATGGGTAATTAATATGTGTATCTATTTAGCATTTATTCCCCTCCAAGATAAAAAACTTCCCTTTTTTCGTGTTGTTTTTAAACACAAATAGCAATTTTATAAACTTACTTGCATATTTTGGAACAAAGGAATCAAAATAATTACAAGTATGTGCTTTCTGAATAATCCCAAGTTTAAAGCTGGCTAGTTCTACTTTTGGAGGTGGGAAAGCAGCTTTCCCTTTTTCACTAACTAACAAAACATCAATTTGATAATTGCTGTTAGACTCTTCTCTTGAAAGACAACCATAAAGATTAATGCCACTTTGGTGGGTTTCTATTTTTTTTGAAGGCAATTCTGCACTGTATTTATTTGAATGCTATGACACGAGAACAGAGAGCTGGCACACAAAGCCCAGCATGCTGACTCAGCGCTGCAGCCATGGGATGGTGGAGGCCAATGGGCTCATTTATGTATGCGGAGGGAGCCTGGGAAACAATGTTTCCGGAAGAGTCCTGAATTCCTGTGAAGTTTACGACCCAGCCACAGAAACGTAAGTGCTGTTTTAATTCAGGTTGGCTTTAGTCACTTGTGTTAATGACTGAAGTGTAGATGACTACAGGAAAAACTCTGGTAAGGAATTTTCCTGAGTCAGCATTAAGAAATCAGTTCTACTTGAAAGATGTTTATTCTTAAGCAGCTTTCTTCCATATTTTATTTTCCTAATGATAGGTTATACTTCTTTTCTGTGAACTAGATGGTGATTTGTCCTTTTCTGTTTGATTTATTTTCCCCAGGTGGACTGAACTCTGTCCAATGATTGAAGCCAGAAAGAATCATGGGCTGGTGTTTGTAAAGGACAAAATATTTGCTGTGGGTGGACAAAATAGTTTAGGTACTTTAATTTTATTAATTCTCTATCTGGTCACACAAGGTTTCATGGTTTGGTTTTTTTTCTGTTTTGGAATGAATTCATTCCACTATGTTTAGCTGCAAAGCTTTGAGCAGCACCATCAAACAGACCTTCTTGTTACATCAGTGTTGCCTTCTTCCTTTCACCTCCCCATTTCACTGTTATCTTATTTTTCAAATTCTTGTACTCGTGATAGTCAAGTTCAGATATGCACCCCTACTGTAGCCCAGTTCTGAAGCAGTTATTATAGCTAAACCAGGCATCTGAGAAAAAAAAATTCTTTGTTTTTTATTTTTGGTGGGTGTTTTTAGTTATTCATGTGTTTTGAGAGACAGATAAAGGCCATATTTTAGGAACTTTAGACTAAAGATTTAAATCTAGTCTGGTATTGTAAAATGGTGAAAATGGAGTCCTCTTTTGACTGCTCTAGCTTTGAAATACGATTTGCTGTAATGGCCAGGTCAATTATGATCTGCCTTGTCTCCATGTTGTTAAAACTAGAAGAATGATACTTTACAAGAAGAATTGAATTTTAATTGCGCAGGGTTTCTGAAATGCTTTTCAAAATGGAAAATTCTCATTTATGGGGTTTTTTTAATCACTACTTAAGGTAAGTGGAATTCTTGATTTCAGATGAATGCTGTTTTAGAATGCAGCTTGATTTTTAATTGGCTACTGAAACTATTCCATCGTGATTGATTCCTAATGCAAAACTATTAGATACATTTATTGCACGAACATTTTATCAATCCATGATCTGCCACCTTGCAAAATATAAGTGTATTCACCGAATGCTCCTCTTAGAAGTGTTAAAAATTATTCTTAATGTAATAAAATCAGGAAGAGTTATGTCTGAGTTTAAAAACTCATATATGTTAATATGATAGAGAGATTTCTTAATCTCTCAGATCTAATAATTCAGTACTGGCAGTAAAAACTGAGTTAAATAGGGACAGTAGCATGTTTGTAGCTATTGTCAAGTGTAATTACTAGCATATTTCCAATAATAAGCAAATTATTAAGCAAATTAAGAATAAGCAAATCTTAGTCACAAAATCTACTCTTTAATAACTTTTGGTTACTTTAGCCCTTTTCAAAGGGACTTAGGCCTTTACACTTCAATGATTTTAGATTCATCATGACAAGAGACCTCCTCTATCAGTAAATTACCAGTTTTAGTAAAAGTACCCATGAGCCCTCTAGAATGAAATGCCACTGCTCTAGGGAAGTTTCAGGTAATTCCTGAGTTTTAGTCACTATCCCCAAATCCATCAGAAATTCATCACTGAAGGTTCTTCTGTTTATGAAGTAACATGTGGGAATCTCTAGAAAGCATCTAGTGTGAATTAGTGAGAATAAATCTCTTGGTTTTGTATTTATACAAGGATAAGCTGCTAGTTTAGAAACCGGGGTGTATTATCAGATTTGCTTTTTTAAGTGTAGGGTTTTTGAAACTTTGAAAACAAAGACTTGAGTTTGCATGCTCTAGTGCAGTCCATACAGTGCAACATAATAAGCAGTTATCTATCTCATTGCTTTGTAGGTGGCCTTGATAATGTAGAATATTACGATATCAAGATGAATGAATGGAAGATGGTGTCTCCAATGCCATGGAAAGGTGTAACAGTGAAGTGTGCTGCCGTGGGATCTATAGTCTATGTCCTGGCTGGTTTTCAGGGTGTTGGTCGCTTAGGGCACATTCTTGAATATAACACTGAAACAGACAAGTGGATAGCCAACTCCAAAGTCCGTGCTTTCCCAGTGACGAGTTGTTTAATCTGTGTTGTAGACACTTGTGGGGCAAATGAAGAAACTCTAGAGATCTGAAGACTGGCATTCTTCGAGGACTTGGAAAAAGATGATTATTGGTGCTTTGCTTCCATGTTTTACTGAATCATGTTAAATTTAGTAACAGGGGAAAAATGAGATGCAGTCTTTTAATTTGTATATACAACATATTGTGTAATGTGGATTTTGTCATGCCCATTTTCTTGTCTGTTTTAAAGAGATGGGGATGTGTTTTGAGAATCCACTTACCTAGGTGATATCACATGGCATCTTCCTTTCAAAGAACTGTAGGTGTGGCCTTGTCAAACAGAGACCCAATCCAAATACTTAGAATGCCTCTAAAGCATTTGAACACATTCTGGTTAAATGACATTTTATCAAGATCAGTTGCAGAGACACTTCCTTTAATGAAAGTGAGTAAATACAGCTTGACTGATGAGAAAGAGGAGCAACAATTTTTTCTGCTTCATACCTACCTGCAGAAATCTTACTGGGATGAAATGAAGATATTTTCTCAGGAAAGACCAAGGACTGCTGTCTAATAAAGATTCCCAATGTTTCAACAGCTCTCTAGATCATGGTAGCTGCCCTCTTCCAGTGAGTTTCTTCCATCATTTGCATGACTGCTTATCAATTTTTTAAGGTTAGAGAGGCCATACATAAAAATTAGAGAAACATTTTGATGGTCTCTTTGGCATTTTGTGGAGCCTTCACAGAAAGACTTTTGGATTTTATTTTTTTTAATTACATTGAGGTAGGGAATGGTGGGGCAAGTCGACGACAATTGTGCACTATAGTTAGCAAGTTGGAAACTTGGAAAGAATTTTCAATCTATCTTCCCAGGCATCAGACTGTAGATACTGTAGATGCCAAACCATTAGCAAACATGGGAACAGGAATGAGAAAAGCAAAGTCAATACAACAGATATATTGATTTTCTTCTTGAAAATTATTGTTTTTAAAATGGCATGAAACAAGTCATTAAAGATACTTTACAGAAGTCTTCAGAAGTTGCGCATGGTTATTCATCTCTGGTTTAGAAGCACAGAGTTCTGTAAATGCTTCCAGCCCACGTGATGGTCAATTTCTTCACGCAGCCTCAAAGTCCAGCCACTCAAGCTCTGGGTGCCATCGACATTGTGTGCTTCTTCCCAGTTCTGGAAAACTATACAAATGACATCTGTCCTGCTCCCGTGCTAGTTTATTCCTAGCTGCATCATAGTTTTGTCACCTCTCTTCTAACTTGCTGATTTTTTCAGGTCTATTTCTATGAGACTAGTGAGTTAACTTCAAAAGTTGGTGCTTGCCTGCCTCTACCTCGCTCATGCTGTGGATGTTTAGTCTGTTTTAGTTCTGAAGTTCTTCCAGCTTCTATGTACATCCTGGTTTTTCAAAGTCGGTGCTTCTTTGTAGACTTGCTCCTCGTTTCCTTCCTCATCCTGACTACTCTGCCTGTACAGACAGGATTAGATACACTCACGGCCTCCATTGTGGTTCCTGCAACTCCCTTCTTTATTCAGCAGTAAGTGAAGGGCATGCGACATTTTTTGTTTTCCCTTGCCTTTTCACTTCTCCTGTCCACGAATCGTGTTCCTGGTGTCTCCATTCCTTGAATCCGAACTACTGGAATTCTGGAGGGAACTGTGCTTTTTAGACCGGACAGGTTCTTTTATCTGTTTCGCATCCGCTGTTAAGCTCCGGGCCCCGGAGCCGCCAGGCTGAATAGTCCCGGGCACGCCTGGGGGCGGCCGCGCTCGTCCTTCGGCTCCGCGGGGCTGCGGCCGCCGGGGGCCCGGCGCCGCCAGGAGCATCCCGGCTCCCGGGCCCCGCAGCCCGGCCGGGCGGGCGGGACGCGGGCGGCTCCCGGCCCTGCTCCGGGGCCGGGCGGGTCCCGCCGGGGCTGTCGGCGGCAGCGCTGCTCGGCACCCGCAGGATTGTGCTTGGCTGAAGGACTGCGGGATGGGCCGCGGGGCCGTGGGGAACCAGCTCGGGCATCTTCGCTGCCAGGAGCAGCGTGCAGCCGCTGCGCCGTGTTTCCATTCTCACCGCCTTCGGTGTTGGGCAGCTTTGGAAGGCGAGGGACTAAACCGAGAGCCGAAGGCTGCGGTTGCCTGTCTTTATTCCTGGTCAAAGAGCCGGTGTTTGCCAGTTCATCTGGGGCATTTACACCTCTGGAGTTCTTTAATGAATCCTTCGTGTCTCCGACTGTAACTGTTTCAGGACAAGACAATGTACCAAGGCCCATGTCTTAGTAACTGTGGAGGGTTGTTAGAAGTATTAATCTGTTTTCTTGGAAGTTTTTGATTTTTCCTGTCCTTGCAGGCTTTTCAGATGCCTTCTTTCAGAAGAACTGCACCTGGAATACTATGACAGCAAACAGTGTAATTGGGAATGTGTAAGCAGTTTAAAAATGATGGGGACAGTCTTTGGGATAAGACTTGTTACCAATCTTCAGGAGGCAGCTCTTGACTTATTTATCTCCCAACTCTAGGAGATTATCAGAATGCCAAAATATCCTTCAATTCCTGTGCCCCAAAGAGAATGACAAAATAGCAGCTGGTCCCTGTGGTCTACCCTACCATCATCTGTTTGCCCGAGATCTCTGGCTCAGAATGCCATATCTCATATTGTTCTTTATGTAAAGACATAAAAATTTTATATAAGGGCAACACTAAGAGGATTTAAAGGAATCTTGTATTAATAACAAAAAATACATATTTTCACCTTGAAGGGGAAGGAAAGCAAAATTCCTCTGTTGGATTAATGACGTTTCTTTTCTAATTGTAAATATCTTTGTTTAGTTCAGTTGATAGACCACTTTGCTTTTTTTTAAAGTCTTCCCCAAAAATAAGAATATGCACTTTTTTCTCTCTCTTTACAGATAGATGCTGTTGAACTCTTAGCAGAACAGTGAGAAAATTGGCTGATTCAGTTGAAAGCTTTAAATGCAGTAGAAAAAGCAGCTTTGGTAGGTGTTAATGAATGGCAATGTATCTGTGCTTGATGTCATTTTTTAATGCAGTAATTTACATATGTTTATTATGGTAAAAAGACTTCTGAGATGTGGCAATTGTGATGTGCCACCTGGGCATATTCTCTGGACTCCTGAAATCAGTGAATCCTAGGTGCTATTATAAACCCCTTCAGTTAACTGAGGAAAAAAAGTAATTATAGGGATGCTTCCATGTTAGCAAGGCAGCAGCTGGATCCCAGCTTTGGAATACTCTCATTGCAAACCACATGAAAACGACCAGAGCTTAAGTTTGAGATCTGGCTGTGTACATGACCAGGAAGAGGCCAATCCCCACCACACCTTTTTTTCCCATGTGCTGATGTTGACTCTGTTGAAGAGAGGATCAGCGGACTGGAGCAGAATTCCCCTCCAGGACACTTTAGGATAAATGGAGCATTTGGCCAATGTCAGAATTGAGGGATAGGTGGGAGAGAAGTCCTTTGGATTTGATGATAGACTGAGTCATTGTTCCTGGGAAGGTGAGAAACACTTGTGAATGGAGCTGGTTTTTCAGAAGCAAATGCCTGAGTTCAAGCCCATGTGAAACAATGAGGGAGGCAGAGGAAGTGGCTCTGTTTGAGTGCAGTCTGCAGGAGGTGCAGGGAAGGTTGAGTCATGTGATGCCAGCCCTTGGTGTGTCAGTGCTGAAGGTGGACAAGCAGGATTTGGGCTTTAGCACAGGAGAGCTAAAACAGACACAGATGTGCTGAGGACAGAGAACAGAGTCAAAGCTGTGCCCGAGTCATGGAGCAGTCATGGAGCACAACCTGGAGCAGTGAGAGGAGAGAAGGAGAGCTCCCAGAGGGCATCAGCTCATTGACTGGCAGCCAAAAAGTGATCAGTTGTTACAGATTTGCATTTCTGGAGGGTTTTAGACAGAAGAGCCTGTATGGCCTTAGAGCACGTAAAGCACTGCAAGAACAGGCAGATGTGAGGAGTGATCACTGTCCAGCATGGCCTGAGTTGGGTTCAGTAGGACTGGGCAGCTCTGGTTTTGTTTCAGCTAGTTACTGAGAGAGAGTTCCCTGTTCTGGAATCTAGTTTTCATGTATGTCTCTGGAATCTTTTCAGCTCTCTGCTTTCAAGGCCACAGGCTCTCAACCAGCACCTGCCTTTGGAATGGGAGGACAGCAAACCTCAGGCTTTGGGCTGTCAAGTAAGTGCCTGTTCTAAGAGCCAAAACGTTTACACATTTTCTGTAGTTTGCTGCTGCATCTTTGAAATACAGCAGTGGTTTGGTATCCCAGGGATGCGAATTCTACTATTTTTTGTCAATTCTCTACTTGCAGGCTTTCCAGTGAGCAGCAGCAGCAGCAGTACCAGTGCCAGCAGTTTCTCCTTTAAGGCCAGTTCCAGCCTCATCAGTTCAACATCATCTGGGAGCAGCCCTGCTGCTGGGAGCTCTTCTGCTGCTGCAAACGCTCCTGCATTTGGGACAGCATCCTCTCCTAGCGCGCCCCAACCCGTTGGCTTTGGCAGCCCGGCCGCTCCGTCCGCAGCCTCCTTCTCCTTTAAAGCAGCTGCCACGGCTGGTGGCTTTGGGACTTCTGGCTTCTCAGGCTTTGGCAGTGCTTCTGCTGTGAACTCTGCAAGCACCACTCCAGCAGCCTTTGGAGCCTTTGGTGCCACCGGTGCCACTTGTAGCTCGCCTGCGAGCGGTGCTTTATTTGGACAGAGCACCAGTGCCTCTGGCCATCCTGTCACCTCGGCGTCTGCTGCAGCCACCAACCCCAGCCCTGCCTCAGAGAAGTTATTCACACCCAAGAGCGAACTGTCAGCTGAAGAGTGGCAGCAGTTTGAAGCAAAGGAGTTCACAATCGGAAAGTTTCCTATTAAGCCACCACCATTAGAACTTTTAAATGCTTTCAACCTTTTAAGTTTACTCTGAAATGTTAATTTTTGTCTCCTTTCTCAATTCTCTTCTGCAGAAAGAAATGCACAAGTATAAACTTTTGAACCTTATTTTGGGATGGACTTCATACATCTGAAAGATGAACTGTTGAAACTAAAATGCCTTCTGTATGTTGTCCTGTGAAATTCTGTACAAAGTCTATATGAAAAATATGGTGTCAAAAGAAAGAATGTTTCAGTCAGGTATTTAAAACCTGCTCTTGTATATCAATGTAATATCTCCAGATATACGTCTGTGGGATGTAGGACTGACCATGAAAGCTTTTTCCCCCTTGCCCCAACAATTGGTGTTGTACATTTATTGGTGAGCCCTTACTGACTGTTATTACTGGATGTGTGCCTTTGCTGTCTTTCAAAAATCTGTTGTTTTATTCCCCAGCTTTACTGAAACTAGATGATCTCTAAGGGATGCCTCTATAATTTGCTCCAGTCCCCTTCACTAATTATCAAAATCCTCCAGCATCCTAATGTTTACATCTTTAAGTTCACCCTTCCTGTCCATGAATGGCACATGGATTCAGGTCAAAAGGAAGGGCCACTTCAAATCCCACACAACCCCTGCCTATCCTTTTGCCTTCTCTTTTCTCATCCATATTAAAAAGGGGTTCAATATAACCTACATCTCCCACCAATTAGGGTTATGAGTCAGCATGATATTTTCCGAAAGCTGATACATTCTTTCAGGATTCTCTCATTATGAACCACAGATCATTTCCAATTCAAAAAATCAAAAGTAGTACGAGGAACATATCCAGAAAAAAATGGCTGATGCTCTGCCCCCACTGCTTGTCTGTGCTTTTGAGCTGTATCCTCTTTATCCATCTCCACCCTGCTGTTTTAGGGGTGTGGAATGAAGGGAACTAACTTTTGCACATAAAACCTCATCCCCTTTTCCAACATCCACTGTAAAATAATATTAATCTGCAATGGCACATTTTCCCCATACTCCAGTTTATAAAATGGCCACTATCTCTTCATTGTATCTTTAGTCACTGGTTCTGCCCTAAACACATTCCAGTTTTTGGGGATGCATCCTAGACAGCTATGGGGAAGAATTGTGCATTGGCATGTTCTCATAATTTAATTTAATAACATTCAAGTTATGCAATTCCTTTACCCTTAGGTCCAGACCTTCCATAGTTACATGACCTTAGTCCCCCTGACTGGTTACACTGATAAACATACACCATTTGAAAGAGGAACACTGGTGCACCTACCAATCCAAGAATTCTGTTCCCCTTTTTGCATTTACTTGAGTCTCTCTGCAGCATTGCACCTCTGAGTTGCTCACCACCTTGGGACTGGAAAGGATGTGATGGAGTCTGTGATCAGGTGGTCAGTACATGCTGCAGTCCTGTCTCATCCAGCTCTCCATTGCCAGAGGAAGCAAGATGGTCTAGTTAAGGCTTTTGGCCATGCCACCGGGATATCCCGAACTCCCAATATGGATTGTACTGGGTGCAAGAAGCAGATTTGCATGCAGGGGAGAGTTTATAGAATATCCTGACTTGGAAGGGACCCACAAGGATCATCGAAGTCCAACTTCTTGCCCAGGGCCATCCCCAAGAGTCACATGTGCCTGAGCTCTGTCAGGTTGTGCTGTGACAATTTCCCTGGGGAGCTTTCTCCAGCACCCAACCAGCTCCTGGGTGAAGAACCTTTTTCTAATACCCAGCCTAAACTTCCCTAATTGTGTTAGGGGAGGTTTAGGTTGGGTATTAGAAAAAGGTTCTTCAGGTCATTCCCTCAGATTCTGTCACTGGTCAGTGGTGAGGAAAGATCGGTGCCTGCCCCTCTATTTCCTGAGAAGTTGTAGACTGCAACTCAGTCTCATCTCCTCCAGGCTGAACAGACCAAGTGCCCTGAGCTGCTCCTCACACTGTTTCCCCTCAAGGCTCTTCTTGATCTTCATTGCCCTCCTTTGGATGCTCTCTACCAGCTTTATATTCTTATACTGAGGTGCTCAGAACTGCCCCCAGAACTTGAGATGAAGCCACCCCAGTACAGAGCCAAACGGGACAATCCCTCCCTTGCCTGGCTGGTGATGCTGTGCCTGATGCATAGAGATTTTTATTACATGGCTGTGCACATGGGTGCTGGGCAGTGAATCCCTAAATGTAGCACAGCCTCTGTGTGCCAGCCCGCCACTTTTATACCCGTCAAACAGCAACAGCTCAACATCTCCAAACTATAGTGTACCTACAGTGAGAGACTAGAGAAAAGGGCCTTGACCTGAGACAGGACATTCAGGTTACATATTAGAAAAAAGTTTTTCACGGTTAGGGTGGTCAGGCACTGGAATAGGCTGCCCAGGGAGGTGGTGGAGTCACTGTTGCAATATGTGGTACAATTTTCCTAAGAGAGGATGTTGTTTAATGCTTGATCTTTATATACTTTCAAGCCTAATCAACAAGAAGGGAGATTTAACCCTGAAAAAGATAGCAGCTGGAAAGCTCTAAATGATGCTCATGTGCTAGATGTAGGTAGAATTGCCTTGTTAGGGTTCAGAGCTGGACATGCTTCAGTGATCTCAGAGCTGGGTGAGGTTAACAAAGCTTGGGAAGAAGGATGTAGCACTGATAGTGCTAGGACACAAAGAATGCAGAATTTACACACCACAAGGATATTTGTCAGAACCTCCAAGATAAGGAAGAAAATAATAAAAACAACTCAGCAACTGTGCTGAAACCAGCTCTGACCGGGTAAAGGGTAATTCCAGCAGGGGGATCTGTGACCACCGGCTTGTGGACCACCAACCCAAGAAAGCCATGGGCCCACAAGAAGAGAAAGACTGAGCATGTGGACTAATTGACATGAGAAGTGAGAGAGTAATTAATCAATAGAAGATAGAATACGAATTAGTAAGAGAGCTGTGTAATTTGTAGCTGATGAATGCTAATTCCTTTGTTTGCTAAAATGTATAAATAGCAAAAAGTTTTGATAGCTGGTGTGCTTGATTTGTGGAATACCATCTAGCACCCGGGCTTGTGCAACTGTGAAATAAACAGTCTTTCAAATGTGTAATTATTGGCTTATCACTGTGTAATTAATCCAATTTCTGCAGACAACATCACCATCCCTGGGGGTGTTTAAGAGGCGCCTGGATCTGCTGGGTGATGTGGTTTAGTGGATTACAGTGGTAGGGATGGGTTGGTGGCTGGACTGGATGATCCGAAAGGTCTCTTCGGACCCCGCTGACTCTGTAGCCATGGGCTGTACATCCCTTATGTAAAGACACAGCACACGGACGCTGTACCGCGCAGGCTGCGGGAGAAGAGCTTCAGTGAGAGAGGGGCGGCCACAGCCGAGGGGCGGCTATTTTACTGCGGCCGCGACCGCAGCTCTGCCCAGCACGAATCAAATCCGTGCTTGGCTTTATCAGTACCCCGTCACTGCGCTGTCCCCGGCTCTGACTGGATCACTGCCGGCCCATTCCCGGCTCTGGGAGGCGGCTCCCGGCCCTGCCCGGGGGCCGAGCCCAGCGCGGCGCGCGCCCGGCGCGTCAGAGCCGCGCGACGGCGGAGCGGCCATGGGCGTCTGCCAGTTCTTCCTGCGGGGCTACTGCCGCTTCGGGGAGCGCTGCTGGAACGAGCACCCCCGCGGCGCCGCGGGCCGCCCCGGGCCGCCCCCGCCACACGGTACCTGCACCGGGACGGCGGGCCGGGCGCGAATCTGCCCGTCCCGGGCGCTCCGGGGCAGAGCGGGCCGGGCGGGTGCGGCAGCGGCCTCGGGCTCGGCGCTGGCCCAGCTGAGCTCTGAGGAAGGGTCGGGAGCGCAGGTCCTGCGAGGAGCGGCTGGGGGTGTTTAGCCTGGAGAAAGGGAACTTGGGGGCGGCTTATCGCCTCTACGAGTGCCTGGGAGGAGGCTGGGGCCGGGCTGAGGCCGGTCTGTTCTCCCGGGCAACCAGGAGACGGGTGCGGCAGCGGCCTCGGGCTCGGCGCTGGCCGAGCTGAGCTCTGAGGAAGGGTCGGGAGCGCAGGTCCTGCGAGGAGCGGCTGGGGGTGTTTAGCCTGGAGAAAAGGAGACTTGGGGGCGGCTTATCGCCTCCACGAGTGCCTGGGAGGAGGCTGGGGCTGGGCTGAGGTCGGTCCGTTCTCCCGGGCAACCAGGAGGCAGCCTCGAGCTGCGGCACGGGAGGGCTGGGCTGGCGGAACGCTGGAATGGAATGCCCTGGCAGGTGGTGCAGTCACTGTCCCTGGAGTGAGGTGCTTTAGGAAAGACTGGATGTGGCACTGGTGCCGTGGTCTGGTTGACAAGGTGCTGTTTGGTCATAGGCTGAACTCGGTGGTCTCAGAGCTCTTTTGCGATTTAATTTATCTTGTGATTCTGTGACTGCGGGGTGTGCTACAAGGCAGTGGGGAAACAGCTTGGGAAACTGTTCTCATGAGCAGCGAGCAAGTCTCCAGCAGCTGTGTGTTGTACCCAGTGAAGGCTGTTTCCATTCTCATCTGCTCTGGGTGTTCGGGAGCTTTGGGAAGGAAAGGGGCACGACAGAGAGCTGAGGGCTGCAGTGCTGGCACGGCAGGAACTCACTTGTCCTTATTCCTGATGGAAGGAGGGTCGGGGTTTGCCTGTAACAACACGCTCAGGTGTGTCCGAGGTCTCAAAATGAACTCAGGAGCTCCCTGTGCTGGAGCTGAGCCCCTGCTGTAGCTACGGAGGCAGGAGCCTCTAACATAAACTTATGGTGTGTTCAATTTAATCTTTTTCTGCTGGGGTAGTTACTTCATGAAACAGCCTAAGCAAAACTGAGCCAGTGTCTTTCTGCAGTGCCACGAGTTGTTGTTGGCACGGTGATGTAGTTGAAGGTGTCTCTGCTCATTATGGCACAGGGGAGATCAAACTGCATGACTTTTAAAGGAGCCTTCCAACCCAAACTGTTCCATTTGACAAGTAGGACTTGAGAACTAACCTGGGTACCTCACTAGTTAAGCTAACTTAATAATGAGGTTAACTTATTAGGAAAAAACTATGTTTTAATTTCAAACTTTTTATTGCCACTGTAAGACTTACAGTTTTTGCTGATGTTGATTCATATATTAATGAGATTTTAAATGTCTGTTTTTTGCTTTTTTGTTTGTTTGTTTTAATTGGCAGTTACTAGTGGAAGAGGAGGAGGAGGAGGAGGATGGGGTACCTCTAACCAGAGATACAGTAATGTTATCCAGCCATCTTCCTTCAAGTCTGATTCGTGGGGTGGCAGCAGAGATCACGGAAGAGGATTCTTTGGCTCCTCTGACTTTGGATCGTCAGGCGGCAGCAGCAGAAATGCAGACTTTTCACAGAACAGGTTCTCTGCCTTAGCCCACGGTCAAAGTGTTGCTGATGGCTCTAAAGATGAAGAGGAGAGAATTCTGTAAGTTACAGTCCTGTCTTACTGGAGGCATTTAGAACGAGCAGGTTGAAAGCTCACTGACTTCCTAGGGATAATGCAGAGGACAGGATCGTGAGGAGAAAGCTGGACAAGGGAAGAAACATAGAGAACATGACTTCATTTGATTCTCTGGAATGATGCTGGCATGGGGAGGAAGTGATCCTTGTTTGGGGCCTGGGCTGGGCAGATAGTCAACTGTGATATTGGTAAGATGGTGTGTTATTTAGGTTGTGATCAGGAGGATAAGGAAAGAAACAGATTTCAGTGCTTGAAAATAAGAAATCAGAGCCCCTTTAAGAAATTGAATTATTTTACTTGATTTTTTTGTCACTTAAGACAATGAATCTTTCTGTCAACAACAAAACTATTGGTTTCACAAAGGTTTTTTTACAGTCAGTTACAAGTGACCAGTATCTGCAGGGTAGGTCCTGAGAGGCAGCACTGTGATTTCCCAAAGAAGCAAAGTTTTGGAAACACTTTCTGTTACCTTTTTAAAGATTATATTAAGAAAAAACTTGCTTTTCATTATAGCAGGTTTTTGGCTCTCAATTTGGATTCAAAGCAATTGTTTGCATTGATTGTTACTGGCATTTTTTGTTTGACCGTGCAATTTCACCTTCATCTGTGATTTTGTTTTGTTTGTTAGTGAATGTGTAGTGAAAGACATGGAAATTTGGGAATCTTCTGGACAATGGATATTTTCATGTTACTCACCAATGAAAGAAAAGCCGAATGTCTCAGGTAGGTAATGTTTTCAGTGTTGTGTATTGCTGCTTGCTGTTTAGGATGTTTCCGTGACAGGCCACACTGTTGTACCTCTGAGCAGCCGTTTACAAGGTGATAATTTGCCTTGTGATACAACAGGAAAGAATGTTAGTTGATGGCAAATTCAGTTTGGACATTCACACCTCTGACACTCTGTAATGAATCTTTGGTTTTTTTTGTCTCTGATTCTCTTAAGAGAGACGGTATCAAGGTCCATGTCTTTGTAACTCTAGAGGGCAGTTGGAAGTATCAATCTGTTTTCTCAGAGGTTTTTGACTCTTCCTGTCCTTGCAGGCTTTTCAGATGTCTCGCCAGAAGAGCTGCGTCTGGAGTACTACGACAGCAGAGCAAACAATATCATTGGAAATTATGTAAGTATTTTTAAAATGTTGGCTGGTGTGGGCACCCTTGGCACAGGACTTGTTACTGTTACTCAGGTAGCAACTCTTGATTCATTTATCTCCCAGCTCTAGGAAATTATCAGAATGCCAAAATATTTTTCAATTCTTGTACATCAAAGTGAATGCAAAAACAGCTGCTAAGCACTCCCTGACTTAATCTTGTCGGTCGCTGCTCCTGTTACTTGCAGAAGTTACTTGAATCCTGTCTCAGAAGTTTAATGCCTTATACACTATTAGTCACTTTGATTGTTACAGGTGGTTATTTGGTGCTTTAAAGAGAATTTGACCTTGTTCTTTCACATACCTTTGTTGCAGGGAATTAATGATAAAAATAGCAGATACTTCTTTCCTAGAAAAAGATACGTATATACTCATTTGGAAGTAAGGCATATGTTTTTATATAAAACATCTCTCAGTGTGTATATATCATTGCTTCCTTGTAGTCCTATCAATACCAAGAAAGCTAACAGAAAGGAAAGAAATTAGGCTGTTGGATAGATGCAAGTACAAATTAATTCAAACTACGTTGCAGTCTTTTCCTCTTCTTGGTTCTATGTTACAGAAGGAAGTGCTCTTGTGACCACTCTTGCTTCATAGGTTTAGATTTACCAGAATTGCATTTTTAGAGAGAGGAGACATATAATTTTTTAAAACTTTAATTAAAATAATAAACTAAAATAATAATAAATAACAAATAATAAACAATATGCTGTACATGGCTATTTAAATAAATAAATAAATTGTCATCAAAGCAGCAAATGCACGTTTTTCTAATTCTCATGTATAGATTATAGCTATGTGATACAGTTCTCTTACAAAATGTTTAAGTACAGCATGTCTTTTCCGTATTTCTATTATTAAACTGGGTAAAAATCTGAATTTTCCAGTTTGTTGTATAGGAGCAGATACCAAGCAACATAATCTTCCAGTATGTGCCTAAACACAAAAGAATTATTGATGTTTGTGGTGTAAGACTTGAAAAATTAAGACATTTGTCTACAAAAAGATTACTCATTCAATTTTTGCAGTCATTTGTGACACTAGCTGTTTAACTCGTTTAGGGAAAATTCAATTAGGCCAGACATCAAATTAGATGTGTTGCTAAACTTAAATATAAATGTAGGAAATTCAGGTTTGAAATTCCTGAAAGGTTGTTTAAAGACTTTTTAGGTTTTTGCTTAATACTAAATCACAGTTATCAAGACACAGATACCATTTATTGCTGCACTGTTCTGTGCAGTTATCTGATGGATCACATTAAGGGGGTTGATTTAAATGAAGGAAGTTAATTTCATCAGAAGTAACTATTTTGGGATGATACAATGGAATTGTTCTGAATTACAGTGTTTTGAAAGTGGGCATTTTATTTTCTGAAAATAAGGAAGAAGCTAAGGTGAATCATGGGACTTCAGTGAGTGAGTGCATAAGTGGAAAGGCCAGATTGAAGAATCTGTTCTCATACACATAAAACTTATATATCTTGTTTGTGTCCTTTTTGTCCCCAGCATCTAATTGAGAAAAAAATAGAACTTGGATTTAAAAAGTCCCAGAACTCGTTTGAATGTTACTCCTATGTAAAGTAAAAGGGTTGATTTAAGGACAATAGTAAGAGAGTTTAAAGGAATTCTCTGTTAATAACAGAGACATCAGCTCCTCACGTTGAAGTTTCAGGAAAGAAAATATATTATTGGGTCAATGAAATTGCTTTTCTAATTCTGGATGTCTTTTTTCCCTTCAGTTGCCAGATAACTCTTATGTTTTTGACACTTCAGTAATAATACCATGCTTTATTTACCCCTTTTCAGATCAATGCTGTCCAAAACTTAGCAGTACAATGGAAAAATCGGCTACTTCAGTTAAAAGCTTTAAATGCATCAACAAAAGCAGCTTTGGTAAGTGTTAACGAATACCAACATGTCTCTGTGCCTGATGTCATTTTTTAATGCAGTAATTTACACAGATGTTTCTTATGGGTATAAAAACTTCTGAGATGTAGCACTTGTGATGTGCCACCTGGGCATATTCTCTGGACTCCTGAAATCAGTGAATTCCAGGTGCTATTATAAACCCCTTCAGTTAACTGAGGAAAAATGTACTTATAGGGATGCTTCCATGTTAGCAAGGCAGCAGCTGGATCCCAGCTTTGGAATACTCTCATTGCAAGCCACATGAAAACGACCAGAGCTTAAGTTTGGGATCTGGCTGTGTACATGACCAGGAAGAGGCCAATCCCTACCACACCATTTTTCCCATGTGCTGGGTTGACTCTTCCAAGAGAGGATCAGCAGACTGGAGCAGAATTCCCCTCCAGGACAAATGGATGCTTTCGATCTTGTAAGTTTATTCAGAAGTAACATGTTCTGAAATGAAATGAAATGCTACTTTTAACTTTTTTTTAATCTCTCAAGTCTCCTGCAGGAATAAAATTACAAGTATAAACATGTGGACATTGTATTTTATAATTTCTTAGTTATTTTGGGACAGACTTTTTACATCTGAGAAATGAACTGTTGAAAATAAAATGGAACATTTGCTTTTCTTTGTTGTCCTGTGAAATTTTGGGTAAACACTCTTTATGAAAAGGTTACGTCAAAAGAAAGAGTGCTTCAGTCAAGTATTCAGAGCCTGCTGTGAATGGAACCCTAGAAATGCAGTGGAGGTGCTTTTTGTTGGACAGCCTTTTCTTATGCCTCTTCAAAGGTTTGTGCACTGTTGGAGGACTGTGTGTTGAGAGAGAGGTATGGCTCCTGTGTGGTCTGTGCCACACTACACCCTTCTGTCCCCTGGGAGCCAGTTCCTGTGCCAGTTGACACAATTCAGCTGGTTTTAGTAGTTTCACCTGAGGTCACCAAGCCTGCAGGAATGTCATACAGCCCGAAAGCATTTTTCCTGCAGAAGGAGCTTGTGGGTTGTTATTTTGGTGCCTCTTAGGTGAAACTTTGCAAGCAATAGCAAAACTGCCTTTCTGTGAATGATGGCACTTTGTTGTCAGGTCCTGAAAACTTGATGGGTGCATATACTAACGTTGCCTCTCCTGAAGTCATGGTGTTAAGGGATCAGCTTTGCTGCCAAGACGCTCTACAGCAGGAGTCAGGAGTCTTCCAAAGGACATCTGGACTCAGGGAAGGAGAACATTTGCTCTTGACCAGACCCTCCCCTTAGTAGTCTATAATTGCCAGACCTCATCTTCAAGAGGAAAGCAAAAGTTTACTTCAGGATACACATAACTAAATCAGTGGCTTCTTTAACACTTGCAGATAGCATTTCAGTTCTCAGGTCCTACATAAAACTTCACCTATGTTGTGTATCCAACCACAGGTCCGTCACAGACTGACTTGCTAAGAGTGGGAATGACTGGAACAGCAGCTAGGATGGTAGGCTGGGGGTGGACACTGCAGCCTTCATGGAGATCCAGGTTCCTCACTGTGAGTGCTCAGTGCTGATGTGGCTGAAATTGCAGGTGTTACATATCTCAGCAGCCTGTTGCTGCTAAACTCTAGGAGCTTCCCAGGCTTAAAGGTGAGCATGTGATGCCTTAAATGGAAGTATTTTGCTTTTTAAAAAAAAAAAAAAGTGTAAGGGCAAAAAATATGGATATTCTCCTGCACACAGCCAGACAATATTGGCTTGATGTTCTCAAGCATCCTTCTAACACATGGAGACTTAGTGGAAGAAAGGAATTTTTAAGTGTTAGGTCACATTGCCATTAATAAACAAAGATTAAATGAGGTATTCCTGATGACAAAAAATAAAAAAGTTTGATCAAATGTGATTTTTAAAATAATTTCCTCACCCTTAATTTTTTTTTTTTAATTACTGTTACAGAGGTACTAGGATTTGGTGTTTTTACAAATGAGCTTCTGAAATGATGGCAGGGAGCAGTGTGATGTGACTTATCTGGCAAAGGCAAGCTGGGTGCAGAAGTAGGGATAAGGATAGGACAGAAGGGAAGGGAATAATATTACTCTAGGGGGCTTACTAAACTGCAGAAAATAGGCAACAATTTATTAGACCAAGGAAAATTATCCCAATTTTTTTTTTTCCTGTTCATCCTTTTCTGCTTTTGGTATACTTTATATCAACATTGATTGCAAGCACAAAGGAGGCTAAACAATACCTTCTATTAGCTACAATTCTTTCATTTTTTTAACTTCTCCTTTTTGCAACTGTTATTTTTTGTTTGTTTGTTTGGTATATGGCTGCTCCCCAGAACATGATAATATTGTGATCTGGCATATAAAAACATATATAGGGTGGCACCAAACTCACAGATGTCACTTACTGTATTTTGATTTAGAACAGGAAACATGAGGTGAGTGTCTAAGCAAAGATGTGTAATGTCCCCTGATTAGCTGAAAATCTTGGTCTGTGAAATGGGCTGGAACATTCAAGCTCCATGTGATATTTTCAAGTACTTCCCTTACTTTGAAATAACAGGATTTATGAGTCACTGAAATTCCTGCAGTGTGGTGCAAACAACTAATTTGAAGAATGGAGTTTTGGTTTTCAAGATATCCTGGATTAATCCCCAGACAGCAGCATTTGAGGCTGGCTGTATACAGGAGAAAAACTCTCTGCTGCCCAGCTGGGGAAGCAGCCCAGCATCTAATAAATGGAATTTTCTCTGCCCTTTTTCCTCATATATTAGCAGCATTGGCAGATTTCAAAATGTGATTTAGCATCTAAGAAGGAAAAAAACCCAACCCTGTGAACCTCAGAGAGCATTACAATTAGGTCTTAAAAATGAAACATCACAGTAGCCCCATGTTCTGTAGTTTCACAATGTGCAGCAGCAAGTGGCATGGTAGCCTTACAGTGAATGAGGGAAGATGGACTGCAAATGATCAGCTGGCTGGATTTAAGCCTCAGAGAACAAGCTAAGGGCATCCACAACAATAAATTAACAATGACCAGAAGGCTGAGGGAAGAAGAGCTTTCATAAATGTGCCTGGGGAGGGAAAGGAATATGAAAAGCCTATTAATACAGGAACTCTGAATTGAGATTGATAAAACTGAAATGGTGGAAATCTATTTAAAAAGTACTCGAAATGAGGGATGGTTGAAAATCAATAAGGATGTCATGAAGTAACTGATGGAAACAAGTAAGAAAATATTTGTGAAATGTGAGCTTACTGCAGCATAGTGGGAGTCCAGACAATTTGCTGTATTGGTCAGTAAAGGAATCAGATAATGGACTTACCACAGTTTTGGTAAGTGATATCACTCAGATAAGTGGCAGAACACCAGGGATTTGCTAGCAGACTGAGGAAAAAACATACCTCAATGAGCAAAGATACTTAATTTGTTGACAGTTACAAATAATTTGAGGAGATTATAAAGACAGATTAACTGGCTTTTAGTAAGGCACTTGATACAACCATTTAGGAGGTTTCAGAGGTTTATGTGACTGTGATTAGGGTTAGTTATCAATCAGAAACATCTATGAGTGAATGCTTTTGTTTCTAGTCCACCTCCCATGTCCTAATGTAGAAGACAGAGAGAGAGATTTACCTGAGCAACAGTGGACGAAAAAAAGCCACAAATTCTATTTAGACAATTTGTCTAAATTGATATCAATTTTAGTAGGTATCTAATTATATTTGAGCCAATATAAGCCTAATGTAAGCTGAAGGAAAAGTCTGGACTACTAGTGTTCAGAGAGTGGGAGCCAACTGTGCAGTAGAAAGGTGCTGACAGTAATAGATCTGAGGCCATGCTGGTTCAGATCAGGAAAATGTAGTTTGAGCTGTAGGAATCTCCTGTAGCTACAGTGATGCTGTGCTTAGTTCTGAGCCTGCAACTGCTAGAAAGCTGCAAGATGAGTAGAAGGAGATTCAGAGTGCAAGCAAAGCCACTGGAAATGAGAATTCAGGAGGGAACTTGAGAGCTGAATATTTACTGCTTGGTGAAAGCAGAGGCTGTGACGAGCAATGACTGTCTTTTTGAAAGGGTACCCTCTCAGGAAGGAGGAAACAAGACTTTTCTAGTAACCAAAATATTGTGCTATTTTCACGGGCTTCTCTTAGACAGGAAGTTTCCCACCTGGAAAAGTCCTGTTCTACACCTCTGTTAAGATCTGGCCAAACCAACCAAAACACGAGAACCAAGTCCCTGCTTGTCAGGACTAACAGCACATGTCCTCAGGGATGCAGCAGTCAGCACAAGTAGATTTGATCAGTTCCTTTGAACCACAATACACCAATACTTTCACAGAGAGTGACAGGATTGCAACACTGAGCATTTGGGGCAGGGAGCTCTGTGTGTCTCAGCCACCTGTGCTGGGAATGATTCAGGGTGCTGGCCATAAAGAGGGAGCCTCTCTCCACCGAGTTTAAAGAGGCAGATTAACTCTCTAACCCTGGGAGTGAATATGCCTCTTGGTCTTGAAACTTACACTTGCCTTGAAACTCTCACTTGCAATTGCCTGGTTCTCCTGCTGAGAATAGCTAAGTAAAAAACCACAGTTGTTCTTAGCAGCTCAGCCTTAGGCAATATGCTTATTTAATCTCCAACACCCTTGCAAATTTCAGTATCACGCAACAGGCTCCTTGGTGGGACTTACTCTCTTGCAAAAAAACCACAGCCAGATCTTAAAATGGAGGGAAGAAGAGCAAGAAGAACAAGATTTAAATGTCAGTAGGCTGATGCACATTTTTGTTCAGGTTTGCTTTGTCTTTCCTCCACAGCCAGTAGGATTTGTTCTTACCATGTACATGAGGGATGTAAGAAACAAGTTTTATGCCTTTCCCCTTCCAGCAAGCAGGTCTGTTACGGTGCTAATTGCATGTTAGTCATCAGAAATGCAATCTGGTGGTTTTAAAGTACCTGCAGCAATTATATCCTGTTCTACCTGAATTTCTATTTTGTTGTGGCAGTGAGTTCTTAGCAAACTAAATGCATTCTGGTCAACATCAAGGAAGGCCTCTGTTCTTCAAGAGAAGAGAGCCTTATCTTTGCAAGTCACATGAAATATTCCCATTGCATATGCCCTGCAAACTAATTAGATTAGTTCTAATTATACCAAATAAACCAATCCTCCTGTGTGAATCAAACAAACAACATTTGCATGTGTGCATGTAAAACCATGTCACATCCCATTTAAGAGGAGACTGAGGTACATTTTTGATTTCTGAGAGCTTTTCTATCAGAGAAAAGACTACCCAATGCTGTGGTGGTTTTCTGGCGAGCATCTGTGCATCTCTGGCTTGTGATGCACTTCAGTATTAAGGTACTCTTTATAGGCACATGAAATTTTGTTATTACAGTTTACTTCTGCAAGTATGGCTTCTCCTGAAGTATCTGTAATGACTAAATAGAAATAAAATAATATAAAACTGAAATAAAACTTTATAACCATGGGTTGCATTAAAAACAAAAATAAAAGGCTGGTATCACTTACTGTTCCTGTATGATAAATGGACAACAGATGAGGTGGAGAAGAACCTTCTGTATTCAGGATACATGAACTCTTTGGGGCAGAAGAGAGCCTTCAGCATTCTCCCATAGTCTTGTTCAGGAGCTCCCATGGGCTTGGGGCCAACAGGCCCTTGCAAAGTGAAGCACTGCTTGAACTTCACCCCAGGGGCTTGGCAGAGCCTAAAAGAGAGCCCCAGCCTGAAGGCAGACCTGCCTGACTTGAGATAAGGCCTTTCCAAATTTTACTGCAGATCCTTCTCCCTGCAGTCTGCTTTAGACATCTCTATCTAACCTACCTGAGTTGCTGGAGACTGATTTCTTCCCTCCCTGCCCTGTGTGCCTCCCAATCCTCCAAGCTCTTGCACACAAGGTCCCTGCATTTGCATACATGGAGTTCTGACTTCCTCAGCCTCCCTGTGCAGGTTTTGCAGAGGGAAGTGGCCACCAGGATCCCCTCCTCTCCAGAAGTCTCTGCCTCTACCTGAAGCCTGTGTGGGAACTCCCATGATATCAGGACACCGTGCTCATGACCTGAGACACCTCCAAGCCAGCCCGAGCATGCAGGCAGAGCTGGACATCACAGTGGGTGCTGATACAGCTCCAGCAGGACCTGTCTTTCCAGCTGGTGCTGTTTCCAGGTTCTGTCCCATCAGTGCCCTTTGCTCATGTATTCAAATTCCCTATCACATGGCATTTCTAGCAAAATGATTCCCACTTAACCTGTGATCATGGTTTATAACCACTGTTCAACTCCTCCTGCCTGCTCTTCCCTGACAGCTGCCTCTACCTGCACTTTTCAGGGGCAGTACATCTAGAAGCTCAGGGGGGCTAAAGTCCTCCCTGACCATGACAGGAGAGTGCTTCTGCTTCT